GAGCTTCTGTAATGGTAATTACAAGAGATCAGAATACCATTTAACTTTTGCCATGGCAGCCTTCAAAAAAGCAAAATTAAAATACATGTCATGTGAAGAGTTGTGCCTATGAGGGTGATAAAGTTTAGAAAATGAGTTTATAAGAAGTGTTGTTAGTTGGGTCAGACCATAGGTCCAGTTCTAGTCAGTCTCCTGGCTTTGGCCAAGCTGTCCTACCAGACCAGGAAGGAGATGCTTGCTGGTGGGGACTTGAGTGTGTGCGGGGTTGTCTACCTTTGCCTCATCTGTGCACATCCCTGAGCAGAATTTCACTATACAGTGTCCAGCGGCTCTTTAGAGGCCTTTGAAGAACGGGGGATCTGGGTAGAGTCCGCAGCGTGGTGTCCTTCCTCGGCACCCTGGTTATTAGCCTGTAACCTTCATTCCTGTTCCTGTTCTGTCACTTGGTGTCCCAAGAAATTAGTTGCGCATTTAGTGGCCTTCCCCTAGCCACTCCGGGAACCTTATAATTCAGGTCCTCGGCCCAGTGCCATGGCACAAGTAGACCTGTCTTGGTGGCAGAGGACGAATGCTGAGGGAGGGTGAACAGGGCATGTTCAGTCTTCCAACCTCTGCTCTTCTCTCATTGCAGTTTCTAGCATTCACAGGTGATTCAGAGGCTGCCCCCTTGTCTATCACGTCTAATACCTACTCTTTCCTCCATGAATTTGAACAGTATCTTTTTCAACTGGGTTAAACTATCAACCTCCACAACATCTTGTGGTAATGAGTTCCACAAGTTAATTACTCACTTCATGAAAAGATTCTCCTTTTAGCTTTAAACCTTCTCCCTAATTGTTTCATTTTATGTTCCCTAGTTGTAGTATTGTGAGAGACTGTATATAATATATTCCTATTTACTTTCTTTGCACCATTTCATATTTTGCAGACCTTTATCATGTCCCATTTTAAGCATCTCATTTGAGGCTGAAAAATTCCAGCCTATTTATTCTCTCATATTGAAGTCCTTCCATACTCCAGATCACCTTTGTTGCTTTTCTTCATACCTTTTCTAGTTAACATAGAGCCCTTCATCATGCATATATAGTTTGGGTTATTTTTTCCTGTGTTCACTTTGCTCTTATTGAGATTGGATTTCATTTGCATTAAATTTCCTCGGATGTGTGATTATTTCTGCAAAAACCAAGAAGCTGCAGAAGAACAATGTCGTGCCTCAAATTTCATGAATCTTTTGGGAAATTATGTACCTAACTGCAAAGGCCACCTTAAGAATTGTGAGGGATTTGCTATGCTAGGATAAACAAGGTGGAACAGCCACATGGCATGGCTTAAATCAAAACTGTTTTTCATAAAAATGGTAGATGACCATGAGAATGACATTCAGGACAACATAGAAACATCAACAGCTTACAGCTGTACAGAGGCAAAGCACCTGTGTCTGTAGCTAAAACCAATAGCAGATGCTCTTGACCAACTCCAGGGCAAACATGGTCAAATTCAGGTGCAACATGAATGGCTACTTGTAATTCATAGCAAAGATCTGAAGTCCTGCGCATAGCTGATCAAGTCTAGATGTAATGACTGCGTGACTCTAGCTCACTTACTAGCCTAACTATATCATCTGCAATACATCTGTTATATTTGTGATTCATCTGCAAGCATGCATAGGTAGCATCATCTGCTTTTAATAGAAATAATTTTTTTTGCCTTTTGGTTTCTGCCAGAATAACCTGAGAAACAGGTCAGAAGCGGAGAAAGCAAGGAAACTTGTCATGTGCTATAAAATACTAAATGCCAGAGTAGGTGAAAAAGAGTCAAGGTCTAAATCAGACCATTGAAGAACAGGGTGAAGTGTCGAGTGCAGTGATTTTGTTTTTGTTTGTTTTCTTTTCATAGGTTAAATATTATTTTAAAATATTGCAAGCAGGATTTTTATCTTCAAGAATAAATTTCAATTTTTAAAACATTTATCTTCATTATTCACTTTTCCTTTAAAAAGTTGTATTTTACTTTTTGGTGCTTTAATTTGAATGTTGTAGGGTATGGTACCAATTAGCAGTTAATAAGGTTAGCTATATTCATTCAAGTAAAGGCTATTCTTTAAATTAATGGTTTTGTTTTGTTTTGTTTTAAATCAGGCCTAATATCTTTACAGAACTTCATCACCTTCTGACCTTTTTTTAAAATCTCCTACCTAGATATACATACACATTTTAAAATATCCTTTATATGGCATTAATAAACTCTCTCCTAACTGGCCAACCTGTTTTGGAAAAGCCAGTTGTCAAAACTTAATTAGGACAGGACAGTTTAAACCTGTAGATAAAACTACTGTGGTTGAAGGTGTCCAACCTGTTTCCCCCACTATGTAGAGTATTTTGAGATCTACAGAAAGGATGTAGAACGTAAATGCTGCTGTGTATTATCCTCTATTTGGTAATCTGACAGAATTTGCAGTGCAATGCCAATTTTTTTATTTTGTTTTAAAAGAAAGCAGAAGATGAATCCCTCAGACTGCATTTCATCCCCCATGCAGTTTTTCTGCTGTAGTAACAACTAAGAACAGACCTGTTAGTTTTGAAGGGTTGTTGGCTAACTTATGAAGCAATTAAATAATGTGTTTGTGGGTTAAACTGTTTTTCACACTTCCTCCCTACCTGGAGGAGCTCATGCATATTCTCATCCCTTCTCTTTCCTGGATTTACAATGAGAGAGATCACAGCACGATTGAGAATTTAAAAAGCCTCTCATGAATGTGGGTTCTTTGATTCTTTTTTGGGGGGGAGGTGCATGCCCATCTAGAAGCCCTTTAAAGATTTTCAGAACCTGAATCCCCAGTGCTTTGAAAATCAGGTTCACTTAGTTCTCTGAGGTTGAAAGGAATCAAAACTCATGGCAGAGGTGATATCTTGTATTAGACCAACTAGATATTTGCAAAAAAATTCTTTATTTGCAAGTTTTTGGACACGGGTACCCTTTTTCAAGCATAGGAGATTGCAAAGATTGTTAAAGTTGTAAAACCCGGATACCTTATATCAGGTTGTTGGGTATCCAGGCTGTAGATGTATTGGTCTAGACTGGCGAAAGGAATCAAAACTCATGGAAGAGGTGAGATCTTTTATTAGGCCAACTAGATATCTGCAAACAAATTATTGCATTTAAATGCAATAATTTGTTTGCAGATATCTAGTTGGCCTAATAAAAGATCTCACCTCTTCCACAAGTTTTGATTCCTTATATCAGGTTGAATACTCAATATTACCAGTTGCTGTTGGAGGTCTTGGCTTGCATGTTTTACTCAGACTATTCACACAGGCTTGTTGTTGCTCCAAGTTAACTGGCTTCTTATCAGGGTTCAGGAGCAGCTGGATGTTACCCTCATTAGCAGGAAGCTGTGTTTTTAATCTCCGTTAGCAAAGGACATCCAGATGAATCCTCCTGCGAACAAAACTGGTCTTCAGATCGCTTCCCAGAGTGTTGGGAATTGGCCTGCTGTAATAAACAGCTGACATAACAGAAGCGGCAATAATCCCCCATTAAATATCTTTCAGCTGATGGGGCTCACTGGATAATTG